TTTCCCTTCTTCCTAACTGTGTGGATACAAGAATATTCCATATGGCATAATTTAGAGAAGCTCAACATGCCTAGTCCCACTGTCACTGGACAGAGAAGTCACAAATACCAGTGTGATGGTTTGGATGCCTGCTGGGGCAGGCATAGCATTTGCTTGCTCTTTTACTCTCTATCAGCAAGTCATAATTTGGGCTCTGTTCCTGCCCCACCCTTACCTGGCAAGCTAAATCACTTACAATGCCAAGAGTTTAACTAGTAAATAAACCATTTCTGCAGCCTGGAAAACATTTTGTTACACATAGTGCAGTTGGCAGATTGTTGCGTGGGGTTTTTTACCTTCCATCTAGCGTCTCAGAGTTTGGGCTTGGGAGCTAAAGAACTAAAGCATCTATTATTCCAGTGTGGTTGGTGGACTAAAAATGATCTGATGTGGTGTCTCTGTAATCCAGTGGACTGCTTGGGCACAGGCATAGAGCATGACAACACCTAGTGTTGCACTGTCTCTCTTATGTTTTATGCAGTGTTGATCTCTTCTTATTGAGGCCCTGTGTGGAGTGGGGGGAGTCTCCTGAGCAGCTTGCTTCATTTCATACTTGCAGGACAGGTTGGGGAGGGTGTCAGAGGGAGTGGCTTTACAACTACCTTTTGAGTTTGTATAATACAGGGCCACTCTGGCCCAATTGAAATCTCCATTCCAGCAGCTTTGCGAAGTAGTTTGAAGTGGGGTGGGATAATTTGTTTCCATAGTTTAAAGGTTTTATTGAAGTTGTGGCCTCTGCATATTGCCAGTGTGGTATGCCTGTCATTGTTTCAATGTTCCCATCAAAGTATAGTCTAATTGGTACTGAATGCCCTATTGGCAATTTCTATGGAAGAAGAGGCTACAGTGAAAAGAGAACTCATCAGAGTGGTAATCCACTCTAGAAATAACCCATATAAGATTGTATATTGAGCCATGTTCTGAAGTCCCTAGCCAAACTAAAATCAAAAGGATCCATATACCCTGATGTTGCTGGTTTTTAATAAGTTCTCCTAACGAATTGTCCTGTTTCTGCTATAAATAATCAGAATAACTAGTCCCCTGAAATGGATTAAAGTATCTGGGGAAAGTGATTTGATCACTTATTTCTCATTTTATATTGATGTAGTTCATTTTCATTCCATTCCATTAAAATCATTAGAATATTTATTCCTTATATTACAGATAGCTTCTGCTTTATGGTGGTACTATGTCTCCAAAGGAATTGAATACTTGGACACAGTATTTTTCATCCTGCGGAAGAAATTTAACCAAATCAGTTTCCTTCATGTTTATCATCATTGTACCATGTTCACCTTGTGGTGGATTGGAATCAAGTGGGTTGCAGGAGGACAATGTGAGTAAAAATTTTTTTTCTCTCAAGAGAACACGGACCTAATAATGCAGATCATCCCATTGGAAATTAATAAACGGACACTTATGGATGTAACCAAATTTCATAAGCAAACTGATGCAAACAGCATTGGGAGGGTGCATACTTTAATGTGTGAAATGAGGGGGAGGAGGAGAGAACAGAGCTGTAGTCTTTTGAATTGCAAAACACTTTTCACGTGAGCATCAAATGCAAGGTGACTTCTGCCCATAAATTCTGTCTTGAAAAAACAGTTGGGTGATAAATTTGCATTACCTGACTTGGAATTCTACAGCTATGGAGAAATTGGAATTCTAGTTATGGGCTAGATTCTGTGTGTAAACTTACTGAAGTTAATTGAGGTACTCTGGATTTTTATTAGAGCAGAATTTGGCCCTGTATCCAAGTTTGGGGTTTGTTCTGTTTCATAACATAAGCACCAAAATCTAGATTACTCATCTGAAGGTGAGCAATAAATGGGTGTCACGTAACTTCATAGAATCTGTTCAGAATGGCACAAACCTATAATTCATTCAGAGGCTCCTCCTTTTCCTGCACTGTTTCTTTGAGGTTTTTTTCCCCCTGATATCTCTTGTTTCTCTAAAATTATAAATTCTACAGAAGTGCAGGTTAAGTGAAAATGTCCCAATCTCTTTTGTGATTAGCAATGTAAACTTCACATACTAAAAATAGCTTCTGGTAATAATCCTTTAACTAAACACCAGACTAAACTTAATCTATTATCAATATAGTCATATATTAAAATATATATATTTGTATATATCATATTACTATTTCACCCAAAGCTATAAAATTTATTCAGATCTTTGGGTACAAGATTATAGGAGGCAACTTACCCAGTACATTTTCAGGGGGAATGGATTTTTTCCACAAAAATTACAGCTCACTGCACTCATTCACTGAGGTTTCTAGAGACTGAATATGTGCAGTTTGTAGTCTCACTTGCTATTTCACTGCGCACCTCTGAATCGCTTGTGTCTAGTCATGTTAGGGTTTGATTGTACAAGGTGCTGAGTGCCCTCAGCTGCCATAAGTCAGTAGATGAGCCTGTATAAAGCTTATCTTGGCTTTGAGAGGTCCAGCTTTGCAGTCTATAGAATTCTTGGCCTCTGCAAAAGAAATGCATCAATCACCCTTCTGCAGCAACAGAGACTGGCTGGGATCAGGATTTTACCCCATATAGACGGGAATAAATCATAGAGTCATATAAAAATGGGCTTGAAATGGACCTCATGAGGTCATCAAGTCCAACCCTGTGATCAAGGCAGGATCACCCTGTCTAAGCCACCTGTGTTTGTCTAGCTTGGTCTTAAAAACTACCAAAGATGGAGATTTTATGACCTTTCTAAGTAATCTGTTCCAGTGCTTAACCACGTTCACACTTTGAAAGTTCTTCATAATATCCTGGTTGCAGTTTTAAGTCCTTTTACTACTTGTCCTCTCTCCTACAGAAAACAGTCTGTCATGCAGTCTTCTCTTCTCCAGATTAAATAGCTTTACTTCTTCCGACCTTTTCTTGTAAAGTGATGGATCCTAGATCTCTGATCATGTTTGTTGCTCTCTACTAGATTCTTTCCAATTCGTCTGTATCTTTCTTGAAGTGCTGCTCAAAACAAGATACTGTACTCCAAGTGGGGCCTCACCAGTGCTGAATACAGTCAAAATAACAATGTCCTTAATTTGTAGGCAACACTCCTGTTAATACAACTCAGTAAGCTATTGACCCTTGTTCAGTTTGCAATCCACTATAAGCCCCAGGTCCTCTCAGTAGTACTGCACTATAGCCAGTTGTTCCAAAGCCTGATTTGTTTATTTGATTGTTCCATCTGAAGTACACTTTTCTGTGTTGAGTTTCATTTGATAACTTCAGTTAATTTTTCTAGTTTATTAAATAGTCCTGTCCTCTAGGATTACTGCAACTGTACTCAACTTTGTGTTATTTTACATATTTGGGTCATAATTTTGGTCACTGTTATTAAAAACATTATCCTAAATGCAGAAAATTCTTAAATGTCAAAGTAGACTCCTGAAATATCACTGCTGCATTTCTAAAGCTAATTTTTCAAGCACTTGTTATTTAAAGTGATTATTAAATACAAAACTGAATGTTGATGGAAAATGTAGGGCCTAATTCTTCAGGTTCAGGTTGTACAAAGTCTTGTGAATAACTGTTTCTCTAAGTAGTTCAGCTGAAGAAGACATGAACAAAGTTATTCATGTTGGTACACAGTACCAAGATTGGCCTGTTGCCCAAAGGCTAAAAGGAGATTACAAGTTATGTTGCAGTTTTGTTCTTATTTTATGTCCAGTATGGACAATATATACAACACTATAAGAACAAGTGTGACTATTTTATATATAATGTGCAATTGAAGTAAATACAGACTCTTCTGTCTTTCATGTTTTTAAAAATGTACTTTTTTTTTCTGGACAGCTTTTTTTGGAGCTCATATAAATGCATTTATTCATGTTGTTATGTACATGTACTATGGATTAGCTGCCTGTGGCCCTAAAGTTAGGAAGTACCTCTGGTGGAAACGATACTTGACCATACTACAATTGGTAAGTAAAATCTTTCTCTAAACCTACCTCTGGTGAATATGTTTTTGTCTTTCAATTTTCTGTACTTGAAAAGGATGAAGTCTCAAGTTTGTCAGCAAGTGTCCTTTGGCTCTCATTCTAAGTGGTATGACACATGAAAAGTCTCCAGTGTACTCATCTTTTAATCTTCCCACACAAACTACTGAGGAAACCTGTTGTGATGATCACTGTGGGCTGGTTTGAGGTCTACCAGGCCTCTGTCCTAATCAGTCACTCCCATTTTCACTTTTTTAATGTTCCATGATAAGCCTTGTTTTTTCTCAAACGTTTTAAAGTATGTAGCATCTTCTAGTTTAAACTTAAATACATGGACAGAGGGTTGGGCTATGCTTACTGATCATTTATTACTATTACATAATATGGTCATGCACAAATCCTTTTTTCAGTCATAGAACATCAGAAGCATATTTGTTTCATATTTGTTTCAAAACTTAAGCATAGATTAACATACCTTTCAAGAGACTTTCCTGTGGCTTTGCATACCTGAATGCACCTGAATAACTAAATTAGGTCTAATTACGGTAACACCCTTTCTTATTTCCATGCAAGTCTGTGTATGGGGAGTCTTGGTTCAAAAGTAAGGTGCATTTACCTGAAGGGTACTTTTTCCAAACTTAAATAATTCATAGTAGGACACACTTATTCTGAAAGGAATTGCCCACACACAAACTTATGCTAAAAGAACAAAAGAGGTAAATTAAAACTTATTTTAGTACAGACTTGTGTGTAGTACCATCTTTTGTCAGGTCTTTTATGCAGTTGTTCATGCATAATAAATAGAAATAGGAGAAAGCTGCTGGAGGTGAAGGGAGCTTTTGAAATAACTTCTTAGATTTATGACAAGAATTACCTGTTGATGCTGAAGGTTGTACCTTAGTCAACAGCAGGGAGCGAGGGGAGATGGCACCATCATAGGCAACAGGTTGCAGAAAGTGCGAGAAGTCAAGTGTTCCATGTTCATAGCAAGCATGTGTATGAATAACTCTTAGCAAAATACAGGGATTTGCATAACTGGGAAATACCCAATCATCTGTGGGTCATTAAGTGTGCAGTTTCTGTAATCTCTACCAGAGACAGCTGTTCCTTGTTAGTACAATTGCTAGGGACTTTTGTGTGGGACTTAACATGCTGGGAACGTAAATGTTTGTACTTTTTACTTTCTAAAACAAAATACATACAATAGTAAGGCTCCTGTATAAATAATTATTGTTTGTTGAGTTTCACAACCCACTCAGTTTTCTTTTGAAAATTGAATATTCTACTGTACTGTATTTTCAGTATAAACTGATATAGTCAAACCTAGTAAAACATAATAAAACTTTTTGATGTTAATTTTTATCTTTCAGGTTCAGTTCCATGTGACTCTTGGCCATACAGCCTGGTCTATTTATATTGGTTGTCCCTTTCCCAAATGGATGCACTGGGGTGTCATTTTCTATGCTGTCACCTTTATTTTCTTGTTTGGCAACTTCTACTATCGGACATATAAACTACCCACAGCACCTGTAAAGAATGGCAAAATAGCAAATGGTGCTGTTGCAAATGGTGTAATCAAATCGGAAAACAATCTAGTGGCGGAAAATGGAAAGAAGCAGAAAAAGGGAAAAGCAAAAGGAGAGTAACCTGATCCAGGCCTTAACCCTTGCTGGCAATGATGAACCTCCAGTTTGATTTAAGGAAAATGTTTAAAAATAAACGCTATCGATCTGTACCCGTTAACCCTTAGGTTACTGGAAAGCTAGAACACACAGATATTTTCATTATTTATGAAGATTGTTTTAACAACAACACTTCAAATTAAATTTCTATTGTAATTATGTAATTATCGAGCATATGATCTCTGTGTAAACTTTATAGATGGCTGGTGTTGGTGAGTGTAAGAAAGAATTGCAGTAAATAACATGTTTTAGCAGTCCAGAAGTTGATCCTACCATTGATGTGACTGATTTGTAGCAGTCTACATTTCTAGGGGGGAAAAGGTTGCTTTGGAATACTTATGTTTCTGCCAGAAATTTATTAAATTTCAAATTATGATTGTGTATTACCTGATTAGAATATGCAGTTTTCTTGTCTTCACTAGAAATATCTCAAGATACAGTTATGTCTGTGTGTTATTAGAACAGACTGTTGAATTTTCACATTACCTTTGTTTTGATTTAATGTCTGTTACAGTTTTTCCTGTGTGGAAATATACCTACCTCTTCATGTGCTGAAAGCAACATTTAACATTAAATAACTTCAATTTCTGAAGTATGGAGTCCTCCAAGACAAATATGAGATGCAATTTGGAGAGAGCTGGGGTAGGGAGGAGACCACTTCTTTTAAAATCATCTCCCTTTTCAATACAAATGTGACTTTGGGATGTGAATTTGAATGTGATTTAGTGGAGATGACCTTTTTAAATGTATTTATAAATACAATATTTATGACAGTTGATCTGATGAAAACTAAAGTAGTTTTGCCCGCCTGCTTAAAATCTGTGGTGCTAATTTATATGCTACTGCAAATGATTAGGTGGTGTTATAATGAGGTTGAAATATACTATAAGTGAAATCACGTTTGCAAACACCGTTTCTTATGTCAAATAAAACAGAACAGAGGTGTTTTCAGTGTAAGTTGTAGGTTCTAAAACTGTTTGCTCACCCACAAATTGGACGTGCTACTTCATACCGTAATGACTGCAAGCAACTTACCGATTTAAACATACACTGGATGTAGACAAGTATTGTCTTTGTCAGGCCAGTATAGGTAGGTTAGTTGTTGAGATTTCATTCTTTCAATATTCCTGGCTCTTGTCACTTTAACACATAGGTTACTCTTCCAATTATTGTTTAGTCAAAACTACTGTAATAAGACAAAATGGCTTTTTACAATTCCTTTCTGCTCAGAACACTTCATAACTGTTAACTGATTAAATTATGTTACCCTTCTATGAGGAAAATATTTTATTTGCATTTGTATTTTGTGGGTGCTACAACACAGACAATTTGTTACTTTTCATAACTCAAAATGAATATAAGGCAGTTTTCAAACTTGACCAGGTCTCATAACTTCCAATTCACTACTCTTAACTACAAGAGCTGACTGGCTGTTTTCTAAGTAAATTCTTTACAGTTGTGGTCAAAAACAAGTTCATCACATAGTGTATCTTACATCAGGAAAAATGTGATGTATAAAGTTTGTGTATAGAATGTAAAATATTCAGCACAATTACAATTTTTTCATCTTAGTTATCCTTCCTGCCTATTATAAATAATAGGCAAAAGGAACCTACAGCCTTGATTTATTGTGGGGGTTTTTATCTTTTATTCTTTTACTCAAAACTGAATGCAAATCCTAAGTAGTTCAGGAGAAAAAGCAATTTTGACTAAATCCACAATACTTGAAACAGTTACTGGTTAAACCGGAAAATGGGTCTTCAGTAAGAAGCCTGTGTTGTAGGTTACATGGCAGGAAACTAGTTTACCAGGGCAGAGTAACTGTATTGGACTGTAACTGGCCTGTTACCATTAATTATCTTATCTGCTTAGTCTTGTGGGTTACCAGTCTTGATGCTTTCAGGTAAAAATAAAACTTATTACATTTGTAAAAATGTGTCTTATGCATTGGTGTATGTGCAAGGGAAAAGAGTCAATACCCTTTAAAAAAAAAACAACTTGCATGTATTTTCTCTGTTTGTAGGAAACTATCACTTTTTCTTGTATGACTTTTTTTTCTTCCTTTATTTTTAAAAAAGATTAGATAAAATAAGCATAAATTCAACAGCTTCTGCCACAGGGCTTTTTTCCTTGATCCATTTCTTGTTTGACCATGTGATTTAGTCCTGTTTTGAGCTTGAATATAATGTCACATTCATGGCACGCTTCTGCAGTTTGAGGGATAGCGTAGCATGGCTGCAAGTGGAATACTTCTTTTGTTATGACTGAGCAACCAGTGTCATGGAAATTGACAGAGCTGACAATATACAACTACTTCTCTTTCCCCAGATATCAGTCAGGCACAAGGTAGGCACTCCAGATTCTCGCTGTTTTTCCTATTTTGCAGCTTGTGTGGTTACCAAGTCTGCACAGTTTGGGCCCAGGGGTAATAAGAATATGTAAAAGTCTGTGTATTATAGATATGCAATCAAAACTCGAGTACCAAAAAACTTTTGCATGATAAAATTTTCTTACTATGTTGTTTGTTTGTTTGTTTGTTTGTTTTGTTGGGTTTTTTGTTTGTTTGTTTTGGGGGGGGGGTTTACACTTGTCTGTAAGATTGAGAGTCCCTGGCTCTTTGAAATCTTAGATTTTTTTCCATTAAAGGACTTGCGTCCCAAGAAATTTTGAAACCTTTGGGCTAATATTACATCAACTGTCACACCAGTTACTTCCCCACAAGGTCCTTGATATCCCCTCAGACTTAGCTATTTTTAACCGTCTCTTTGCTGAGTCAATTTTTTTAGGCAGTTTAAGTAGGATTTTTATAGGGTCCCATAATGTTTTCCCAGTTGATGAAGTAACTGGTAATTTTTAAATATGAAGTTTGAATGTCTCTAGCTCATAGAAATGAATCATAAAAAAACAAAGCTGCTTTCATTTGAATATAGCTTCAGAACTAGGCTTTTCAAATGTAGATGGTATTTGCTGGTCATTTTAGACCTAGTAGGCTGAGATCTTCACAATGCCAGTTGGTCAAATGTAACATAAATATTAAGACCTTGAACAGAGATTAACTGGTGGATCCTTGTCACCTGAACCAACAATTCACTGTCATACATTCTCTGTAAGCTAACCAATGACTATCCAATGGTAGAGGATTTTAAGAAAACTACATCGTGAACCAACTCTGCAGAAGTCTCTGAAGCCATGGAAATGAAGGGGACTTTTAAGAACACATTAGTCTGTGTTGAAATATTGGTCCTATATCGAATGAGTATCTCTATATAATGGCCATATTGATAAATATTGCCTTGCAGCAAAGTTGAATCTTTTCCATTAACTATTTCCACGTTAGAAAAGTATTGTTAATAATTTATATAGGGATGCAAAAATGATGCAAAATCACTTAGGCTATCCCACACTTCGTTTCTTCCAAATACGTGTATATGTGTTCACCATGTGCTGGGGTTGCTAAGGGTGGTTACTTATACTGGAAATCCTCAATCCTGCAAAGATATAGGGTCATGCTTAATTTATGCACAGATTAAAAAACCTTACTTCAATGGGATTTCTCAACGTGTGTGAAATTTAATCCTACATTATGTTACGTAGGATCAAGGCCATAATCTATAAATGAGTGCTTTTAATATTATGTGTTGTAATTTGTTGTAAGGGAAGTTTACAGCTGGGTATATGCATAATGCATTCATCTTCATCAGTTGCAAACACAGACACTTAAAATCCTCAAGGGCTGAGAAGTGGCAAATCATCTTTGGGTAACTCCTAATCACCTTGCACTGTAGTGCCAGAGGAAGTAGTACTGAGATGCATTCTCTGCAGGTATACTGTATACATCAGCAGAAAACTTCAGTCCAAAAGGAATGGAAAAATATTTTATTTCTATGCTTCATTTGTAGACAGAGGAAAGGAGTGGTTTGGGAGCCTGCTCTTGCATAGGATGTTTTGTTTTTGTAAACTTTTAAAATAAATTTTATTTTTCATGCTGTCCATGAGTTTATTGGTTATGATTTTCATACAGGCATGTTTTACTGTATCCTGTCTTGCTTTGTCAAACTTGTCAACTCTGTTTCACTCACTTTGAGGTGCTGCTATTTGTCACATCACAGACATTCATAAGACACATTCTTTCTCTCTATTTATTTATTTATTTATTTATTTATTTATTTATTTGGTGGGTTTTTTTAATTTTTTTTTTTTTTTTGGAGGCACATTCTTCCAATTAGGGTTTGGGGTATTTTTAAACTAAGTTCAGGTTTGAGTAGGTTCCTTTGAAGGACTGGGGCCCTTTTAAGGGGATGGAAAACTTAGTGCAGAATTTGGCTCCAATTTAAAACCTATATAGCCCATGGAAGTGTTTGAGCAGTGCCTGAGCTAGTGACAAATGTGATCCTAAATGTCAGCTTAGGTCAACAGAATCTAGCACTGTTTGTTTCTCAGGCAGATTTGACATGTGATGGCTTTCTAGCATATCATATAATATTATGCCTTGGATAGATGGCCAAGAGAGAGTGAAATGGGTAGGTATAATGAAATGTCCTCTGTATCTGAGCGCTGCAACTATATATTACTGTATATTTATTTCATGTCTTACTGTAAGCTGGAGAAGATAACAATGAGAGAAACTTTGCACCCTCTTGAAGTCTTAGACACTTCTGTCTTGGCAGTATGGGGGCCGAGTATAGCCAGAATAGGGCCGCACCGATGGAGTGGAATTAGGCACAAACGCGTACTGGTTGAATTGAAAAGAACTTTACTTACAAACTGATGTACAGGGACTTGCGTCGATGCACACAGTGTAGGTACACTCCATTACAAACGAAAGAAAGAAACTGGGTGGCACACCGATGTTTTCTGAGCATGCAGGGTGTGGGGTACGTCGGGACGGTCGGCGACGGGGAGTGGTTGCTGGTCAATCAGGCCTCCAATTTTGCTCCAAGGTACACGAGGAACTCGTTCCCAACGTACACGTGGAGTTCTCCGACTTGGGCGGAAACTACCCAAGCTTTTATACGGCTAGTGAGCCAATTGCTAGCCGCCAGGTGTGAATAATTTACAATGAGCCAATCGGTAGCATGCATCCAAACAGTGCAGCC